TAGATTGAATGGTAATTTATAATCAGTCACAAGAACGTCGAATCTGAATCACTTGAAAAAACACGGGGGTGCTTAACTTTTTTCCAGGTGTATATATAAAAGACAGAGAAAACGCGCGAGTGCTAGTAGAAGTGTGTCGAAATGTCGTTTCTCAGGCGCTATCCTTACAAAGTCAGAGCCTCTGATAAAGGTAAACAATACAACAGCTACTATGTAACCGATCCTTGAAATAACATCAAGTTTATTTTTTATATTTCGACAATCATTTCCCGCAGTATAACTTTGATTTTTATAGTTTTTTATTACCTAAAACTATATAATGCATAATTATTTAATTTTTGAGTCAAATTTCCATTTCATGGCATGACAAGTTATTTGTCTTACTATAAACATAGAAGTGCGTAGGAAGAGGTTCAGGTGAGCCATGACCCGATATGAAAGAGAAAAACAAACATAAATAGCAATAGCATATACGCATTCCTAACTTAAATAATACAAGGAACATTTCTAATACTTGTTTGGTGCAGCAAAATTCCAAAACAATATAATATGACCCACCCAAACCCCTAACTGTGAGCATTTAAGGCTGTAAGCTGTCATCAACCTTCGATTTTTGTACAGACCGTTTTCGATATACATAGATAGACCTAACTGGGAGACGTGGGACCGTGTCTCCCAGTTTGTACCTGATGATGACAAAACCTTGTCGAAACGTTGTACATTTGCTGTTATATTAAATTTATATTAAAGTTTTTCTTTATTACCCATTCAAGCCGTCTCCAAGCAGTAATAGTAAACACATATTAGCTACCTGTCCTCCGTTGGGCAAGCGGTATGTTTACGGACTTAAAACGCTAAAACCCAGGATTCAATTTCCTGTGGACAGAGCGCATATAATCCATAGTGCAGCTGTGTGCTAAAACAATTAAACAAACAAAATTATCCACCTAACAGGTGCCAGAAGTCAGCAGGGTAATATCCAAATATGACACTCATGAAAACTCTGTAATTAATAAATAAAATATACCAACCACCATGAGTTGCCACTTTCTATTGGGTAGTATATCAAACGAAATTAGCGAAACACCATAATTTCCTTTTGATTTCACCAAGGTTTTCTGTACATATATATATATACAGTATATATACAGTGTTTGGTTGGTTGACTATGTGTTTGCATTAAACGAGCGCCGTAATCATGTACTCAAAAAAAAGATACAAACATAAATTTCCATGGATGTTTTTGTAAACTTTCTATAATGATGCAATCAGAATATGATTAATTCTCAATACGGAATGAGGAGAATGAATGTGGTCTAAACGAACAATAAGAAGAACTCATAAATTAGGAAACTCCACTATGTTTCAACAAACTCGTCGAAAGTGAAACTTTTTACATAGATACATTTCAGAGATAGTATTCTTTATTATTTCGCCAAGCTTGTAAAAAATATCGGTACATGTACGAGTTTTTTAAATTAAATTATTTTTTTATTTCTTGACTGGTTTAGTTCACATACTGAAAATGTACATGACAGCGAAAGTCACAAATAACATTTATTAACTTAACATGCTATCAGGTGGCTCGCAAAACGAGAACAGAAACAAACGAGAACAACTGCTGTTAAACTGTTTTAAACCTCAAGTAGAGTATTATCAAAGCGTTGATCTCAAAGTTCCTATCTGTTTATTGGTCAAATAAAACTTTAATGAATTCAATTTCTGATTGTAAATATGAAGACAACATAATTACCACTGACTCCCACAAAGGAGTTCATTGTTAAGGGGATTTTGTGAGTAATTCATTACAATTTTTTCTTTTTCTTTTTTAGACAAAGCAAAAAAATATCTAAATATATAGATCTTAATTTATAAGTGTTCAAAGAATAAAAATTATGTCTACGACAAAGTAATTTAGAAGCAGTCGGAAAATGAAAACCTAGTGTGAGGAAATATTCTTACTTCAAGTTTAGGGCAGCGCTAATAGCACGCTATTTGGTCAAAATCATCAGTAACAAAAAATGGCTGGCAGAGAACACCATCTCTTAAAGAACATCCAGTCTTTCACTATCTTAATTATAAAACACACATTTAGAAAGCTATAGACGTCTAATTAAATGTCTTTAAATATGACATCGCAGCAGGCCACCCCATTTAAAACAAGACAGTAAGTAACATTAAACAAATTAAACCCTGAAGCACATAACTGAGGAATTGTATCTTCAGCTTAAGAAGGTTGAAATATTTAGAACACAAATCCCATTTATTTCAAATCTTGTTAACTTAGCGCAACCATTGAGAGTGGAAGAGGTTAGAAATATAACTCACTCACCCACAGCTATTTACAGGACCTGGGTTGTAGTCAGTAGTCTTAATTTTTTTTATTCCCTAAATGTCAAAGTGAGCTAGAATTCCGCAGCTGACAGCTTTGGGTAATAATTGCTATTACTAGAGCTAACGGCCAATACAAACTACAACTTCTAATTGTATAAAAAGAATTAAAGAACAATGTTACAAGCATAATTAGAAAATTAACGTGATGAAGGGACTCTCTTGTGACGGAAAACAGGGTGAACTCTTAATTACAGATATAATGATCTAAGTTCCTAAATAAACCAATGTTTTCTATTCTAAATACTATTGACTATTACGTATAAAAGCAGAAATTCTAATCTCTATTTTCGACTTCATTGTTGATTGATAAACGATGAAACATGTTTAGAACATAAACATTGAATAATATCTTTCTAAATAATATCTGTTTACACCAAACAAATGAAAAAATTAGAGGGTTAAAATGAAAACTTCAGCTGCTTATGTTGACTGTAATCTATTCATTTTCAACTTAAAGCTACGAGGGGAACTAGAATCCCCATGTTCTAAGTATTTCAAACTTAATAGGTTGCTGGAGGTGATCTTTTTAGTATTTAGCACATAATAATCTACATGATTTTACAGCTAGTAATAAATTCTAGAAAACGGAAATTAAGATTTCTTAAGTATGTTGCCATGTTCGATATTCTAAGATACGTAAAATAATGACAACCATATCACACTTTACCTTCAGTTTGGTAATTCAGTGCCACCATTTGAAGCCCGAAGGCCCAAAAGATAACTGGATTGAAGTTAGACGAGTCAATCCTCATTCCCGCTGGGTATGTTCTCATCAGCTGCTTTTCACAGTGAGTATACATCGGTTAAGTAAAATGTCCGAAAAATTACGAAAAAGAAACAAAAATATACCAGTATATACTAACTAACCTCAAGTTTATTAACTGGAAAATATTAAGGCTTACATCTCTTTAAGTTACATTAAGTTAAAAATCGATTTATCTTACAGATTCTTTATTTTTTACTTTACAATATTGAGGCCACTCTCTCTCTCAAGATTCAACAATATTGAGGCCACTCTCTCTCAAAATTCAACAATATTACACAGTTTCTCTCTTTTCACTGTAACTTATGTTGTCTATCCTTAACGCCGAGCCTAACACACACATATATATATATCAAATATCTTTATTAATGTATAAATCTATTGTCCTTATGCACGATATACTGACCTTGAGGAGTTGAAAACGAGGCCAACAGTGCAAACATACTTATTATGGCGTCATAAAAGAATAAAGTGTGGCACAAATCAATAATCTCTGGACGGCAGCAAAGTTTGTTCAAGGAAACCAGTATTCACGGGTATAAGTGTTTACGCAACCTTTCATACAAGACTTTGAACGTTTAAAGTTGAAATTTCGGAACTCAAAGTAATGACATTAGTTTTAGCTCTAAAGCCAGCGTCAGGGCAACAGTATTAAACCATCTATCTATATTAGTTAAAATAAGTTGTAGAAGGCAGGGCAACAGTATTAAACCATCTTTCTATATCAGTTAAAAGACGTTATAGAAGGTTTTTTATTAAGCTAAGATACCGAGATTACGTTAAAGAAGGTTTGACTTATAACAAATCCAATAGTTAACGGTTATATTATTGTACTTTCTTCTAGACCGATAAAAAATATAATTTGCCTTCACTCTGTAAGTAAAATGATAAAAACATCTGTCACGACATTTTCTATTCGAGCAAAGCAATGTTTAGGTATATGAAAAGAATGAACAATCGCACAATGTCAAGGTAACTTTAAAATTTTTGTGTCACAGATAATTTATCAAAGCAAATATTGGTAATTTTAAAAATGTTTCGTACAGGAATTTTATAGTACATATAAATACTTAACGTTGAATTGTACTTCTTTGTGGATAACCACGAGTCTTATATCTTAACACAATAATAATATTAAGTAACTTAGTCTTTGAATTTTATGTTAAATAAGGGTCAGAATTCTGTCTGCTATATTTCAAAAACTTTAAGATCCCTTAATAATATCAATATTTGATTGTTGTTATATCTTCAACAGGTAGAGTCAGATGCTACTGCTCAACGTAAATGTTGATATGATTTATATTTCCAACAAGTATAATATAATGATACTCTTCAATCTAATTTTTGGAACTACTATTAAGAGATGAAAAAGGACTGTTACATCATACTTAGGCATCTCTGTATACTGATGAATGCTATGAATGCTTACTTTGGTTAAAGTTGCGTGATATATTGAATGACACTTCTTATTACTTAGAAAAAAATGCATTTAAGACATCTCCTTGCACGTTATAATAGACTTGAACTACAAGTAAGGAAAACAATAAAAAATAAAACTTACAAGTGTAGTATTACAACCTGAAGATCTAAAGGTCAAGAACGAACAAATCGTAAAAGATAAACAAGAAAAATATATAAACTAGAGTAATATTGCTAAAAAGTAACAGGTTCAAACACAAAACTTAATTAAATGAGAAGAAAAGAGGAAAGAAAATATTACAGTGGTGTAGAAGCTGGGGGGCCAAGGGAACTGTCCCTCTATAATTTCCAAACAACATGCTACGTAAAACATATAAATAAACATTATCATTACTGTGTCGGTATGTCAAAGCCAAAGAAATATTATAGATGGTTGCATTACATTTGGCTGGTCTAAATTATAATTTTGACGATTATTTACGCAGGCCTCATGATCGGGAAAAAGTCAAAATACAATAATATGTTATATGTTTGTTTTATCAAATCCATTAATTCAACAAAATATCTACTCCTGGACTACTTAAACAAATCTGAAGCCAAAAACTTCGCAGTTTCATTGCGAACGAGTATGTTGCACGATGACAAAGTGTCGTTGGCATCACGTGACGACTGGCTTCGATTTCAGCTTCAGTTTTTTTATTTTCAAAGTATTTCACACAAACAACACTTAACTCGCGTGTAATTTATTGAAAAAATGAACATTACACTAAATACAATTTCTAAAATAGGCATGCGCATTTCGTTCAAAACCATATGCTTATCTCTTTGTCAACACGCATTCAGACGTTTCTGCTTTATCAGCTAAGTTTGCCTTCATTACAATTTTACATTTACCTTACTTTGCAATAATTTAGCTTCAGTTCATTTCATAGACAGCTATAAACACCTTTTAGCCACTTTTTCTTTTCTACTTTATTATCCGTTTTTGTGAGTTTCTTTGTTTAACTAGTAAAACGGTGTCATACGCTAAACGCTCATAAATGTTTCATGCTCTGTACACTATTATAAATACAATTACTTTATTGTTTACTTTACGTGTAGTTTTATTAAATAAAGTCACGTTTACGTAAGTTTTCTGTCTGACTGCGTAATTTTATTTTCTAATAGACCAGGAATAATCGATCTTGCAAATAATGCCTGCAAGAAAATGTAGCTTAAATGACGTGAATGAAAATGATAGAATAAGGAAAATTCAAGCAGAGGGCATGAAAACTAGAGCAAATGTTTTGCGGGTCGCGGCTAGTAACATATGACAACGTTTGGATGGAAGAAATGTTTCCTAAGTGGGATTTTAAATTGGGATTATTGTTATTTTACAGTATTAAATTCGTAATCTATTTAATTGATATAATATTAAAGTATGCATCTGTAAAATGTCTCCAATATTTAACACTGAGTATATTAAATTTCTACAATATTGTAGCATACATCTTTTAAATATCTACACTATTATAATCTGCATCTATATAATTTCTTACACTAAATACCAAATCTATTTTTTATAAAAACACAGTTCGCATGTATTGAATTTATATCATATTACGTAGAATTTAACACTAGATGTCTCCAAACTCACCTAAGGCAGATATGAAGGCAGGATCAAACTCAAGCTTGACATAATTACCCATACAAATCATTTTAAGATTTTAACTGAGGTCAATGATGAATATGGTTCCTTATAAAAATCAACTGACATAAATATTCAGGGCACAGTTTAATCACCTGAGATTAGCAGCGAATTTTTTGCCCAAAATTTCACATTTACAGATTTCTGAGTTTCCATAATATTGAAATCTGCCTCTAAAATATCAAAATGTAAACCTTGCGAATCTGTACCTTTTAACGCCTGCATTTCTACACTATTAAATCATTATTTTTTGAATTTGCAAACTATTCAAATCTGTAACTTTCTAATTTCATTTTTATCATGTTAATACACACATCCTTATAATGCCTGAAGTTACATAATCGAACATAAATTACATTGGTAGTGAAGAAACAGCTGGCGTTTTAGCATCAAATTTCTTTGAGACGTTGGCATAATTACTTGAAACAATGCTCACTGTAGCGTTTATAATATTAGAATATAGTGAAACATATATCATTTAAAAGCTATTTTATTACATAATTTTACATCAACATTAAAAAAATTAATTAATAAATAGTTAGACGTTGTTTAATTTACTCTGTTATGGCTTAAGTTGTGAGGTAAACAAAACTGTAAGCCAAGGTCTGATGATATACCTAACACGTATGTAAAATGACTTTTTATTATTTTTTATTTGTACTGGAACTCCTCAAGATAAAGTTTTGATTTTGTTGTAAAGAGTAAATCCAATAACAAAACTCACAGAAGTTGTTAAGATGAAGAAATAAAGTGAACAAGGATTATAGATGTTTATTACATCATGCTCTCATGCTGGTTCTTTTTTTTTTCCTTGAAGTTGTCCTAAAATACCTGTGCTTCCTTTACATTATTCGCAATTACCTCCAATATTTACTTACCTTTTAAGAAATACATAAAAAAACTTCAGCTTATATTTTACACTGTTACACTAACAATTTTATTCTTTTAGAAAGCAATTTTTAAAATATTTTCCTATTATGTTACCAGTTTTGACGACGCTTCCTTTATTAAGCGTGCATTTCATATATAGCTAAGGAAGAATGGCATATCTCACCCAAATTGAGCTAGATGTCAATTACTTACACTATAACATGGATACACGAGTGTAATCAGCCACACAGTCTCATACACTAATTTGTCTGGCTGATTTGATAGGAAAGTTAATCCCATGTTTTAGCTCTAATGTTATTAACATCAGTTCTCTTTTAAATAACTAAGGACTTTTAGCTACACAACTTTCGATAATTTCAAAGAGTGGGGTTTAATGTATTACTCTTTTTCACGTTCACATTTTGTTAGTTTCTCTGCTAAAGGATATGCTATTAAAGGTAATGAATGACGTTTACAAAGTCTTTTAGCGTTGCTTTCATTCAAAGAAGAAACCTGATGACAAGGCATGACTGTTGACGTTCTTTTTCCACCAGGAGAGGTAAATTCTGGTCTGATATCTAAGCACGAAAATTATGGCACACGGATTAAAAAAACGTTAAAGCAATAACCACAAAATATAATAAAAACGATGCAACCATAATAAAGTGGGATGCTCTACAAAACCATACAAGTATATTATATTACTATACAACTATATTATAGTGTTATGCAATATAGAACTAACAGTACTGTATAGTATGTAACAGGTAATACCTAGAACTAACAGTACTGTATAGTATATAACAGGTAACACCTAGAACTAACAGTACTGTATAATATGTAACAGGTAATACCTAGAACTAACAGTACTGTATAGTATATAACAGGTAATACCTAGAACTAACAGTACTGTATAGTATGTAACAGGTAATACCTAGAACTAACAGTACTGTATAATATGTAACAGGTAACACCTAGAACTAACAGTACTGTATAGTATGTAACAGGTAATACCTAGAACTAACAGTACTGTATAGTATGTAACAGGTAATACCTAGAACTAACAGTACTGTATAGTATGTAACAGGTAATACCTAGAACTAACAGTACTGTATAGTATGTAACAGATAATATCTAGAAGTAACAGTACTGTGTAGTATATAACAGGTAATACCTAGAACTAATGTTAGGCGTTCAAATATGTCTCCAGATGCTACACAAAGATACATATTTGTTACATGGAGATATTTGAACACTTGCAAAGATGTTCTTGTTGACATTGTTATTGGTAAGAAAATCTTTTTTTTTCTACCCTTTTATATAACGCAAGCCTATACAACTTAGCAGTATTTTAATGGTACGTATATACACTATAGCATACAGAATCGTAAAACGTCATATTAGTTATGCATATGTAACTGTACAATACCACCATAATACAATACTGTACTACACAATTATGTTATGATGTCATACAAAACATCTATAATATAATGCTGTATTATAGCCCTCTATTAAATTAATATGCAGCACATAACCAATATAACATATTATGGTAGTAGAATCAAAATAGTTAGAAAGCACCATACAATACAGCTAAAATATAAAATTATACAATACAAAATTTACATAACGAAACACAACTATGTACCATATTATATATCACAAATATTTTACAATACTTTAGAGTGTAAATATAAACACAGGAAAAGTTAAATACTAGTTGACTCTGGTATGCAATTTATCAACATTTATCTAGAGAAGTTTCATTTCATAAGTATATCTTTAAATCAAGAAATTGGTTTTTATTAAGATACACACTAACTGATCCTGCAAGAACTAAAAGTTCTCGACTGGTAATGATTACGGATTATATTATAATATCAGTGTGAGCCAGATGGTTCTTATTATTGTACAAAACTATCATAAAGTTTGAGTGCTTGGTCTAACTGTAAACTGGACAGTCTCTAAATACTCGTTTCCCACAAATTACGTTTGGTCTTTTTTGAACTTCTGTGTACTGCACTACTAAAGGTACTATACCATAACAGAACTATTAATACTAGTACTACTGTAGTAGCTTGGATTGTTAAAAAAATGACCTACTAGCAATATCTAGGTAGTTAACTCTTTGTACCAGTTGGTAGATCACTCGCCAAGTTGTCTGATGGATTAAAATTCTAGATGAGAACATATAAGTATCGGGAAAAATTACCAAGATACTATGATCATTAAAACATCAATTCTTGGCATTACCATTGTTACTAAGTTTTCTTAACAACAGCAGAAACTAAGTTAGTTACCTATCTGACTCTGACTGACTCCTGACGATAAAGCACTTCCAGTAGCCAAGACATTTTTCTTACTTCCTATTTTTTTCATTCTTGTCGAACTTGTGGGGCTGGTATCGGTAAAAAAACCTAGGGAAATTTATTTAACTTGCAATATTCTGATACACTTTAAAAGGAAGACAGTTTATATAGAAGTTCTCTATAACTACGCTAGAACGTCATTATGGTGTTTGAAACTAAAATAAGCACAGAAAACTAATAACTACAGAAACCAAGTAAACTTAAGTACTTGAAGGCACAAAAGATTAAAAATATTTCTTATTTACGAACATAATTATTACTACGCAAAATTGAGCAGAGAAAATGACAGAGATCAATCGTACACATTTTCTGAATACACAGCTTTTACTGAAGAATCATTTGGTGCGTGAATGTTGGTACCTCTTACTTCGTTGGTGCTTTACATTAACTACGTCGTTTTGGGTTATTTTTACTATTAGCGAGATCCGTTCAGATTCAATTTATTCAATACATTTTTTTTTGTCGTTATCAAATACCAAGGACTTCATTTCTAAAGACAGATAGAATAAAATGCTCATGATCTATATAAGAGATAAAAATGATAGTTATAAACTCAAACTAAAAACTATTATTTTTAAAGAAAAACAAGATGAATGTGCTTACAATCTCTAACAATTACGCGGTGAAAGTGGTTATAATCTCTAATAACTACAAGATTAAGATGGCTGTAATTTCTAAAGAAAAATAAGGTAAAGATGTTTATAAGTCTTGCCAAAAATATGATCTATATTTTATCCAAATACATCAAACAAATCAGTTCAACACAAACACTATAAAGACACAAAACTTTATAGAACCAGAAAGATCTAAGTACTTCAAACAAATCAGTTCAACACAGACGCTATAAACACAGCAAAAACTTTATACAACCAGAAAGATCTAAATACTTTGAATAAACTCCTCACATTGGTTGACACACATAACTTCTAATCATACCTCGAAACTTTACCGCTTGACAGTAAACAACAAGATCTGACAGTTCTTGTGCAATCTGGTAACTGGACTTTCGCTGTCGGTAAAGTACATCATCGTCCAGTTGACTAAAGTCTCCAGCCATGTCCAGCTGATTTCGCTGTCGTTGTATTCCTCCACTGGTACAGGTTCCTGGACTTAGAGTTTTTTCTTTGCAGGAACCCTCTTGGCTAGACAAGGAGTCTGTACGTCCAATCATTGATACAGATTTACTTACAATACTTTGTTCATCCTCTTGTTCTCCTACTGGAGTTAAACTTCCGGTCAAGGAAGACCTTGTTAGCACCACATCTTTATCTAATCATAAATAAAGTTTCAAAAATATATCTAAGTGGAATCTACACTACCAAGAAGTATTTAATTTGATTTGACATGCATGTAGTCATGGAAAGAAGTTAAGTAATGCAACTGCAAAATACTACAACCAATTAATGAAGTTAATAGTACTTCAGGAACAATCATAAATGCAAGGTATACATTAGATGAGAGAACATCCTACCTAGAGCATGTAGAATAAAAAAGTGCTTCAAATAAGATTACAAAAATGTTTCGTACATATATAAAGGATTGAGTATGTTATATCAAAATAATTTTGAATACGCAAATCAACAAATCACATGACAACCACAGAGAAATAAAGTGCGGTGGTATGAATTGTATTAGGATGACACATTTGTATCGTTTGATGTTTGTAGGCAGTGTGATGTCACCTAAAATTGGGAAAGGTATTTAACAGCACTTTTCAATGCAAAATATTCATACACTCCGTTTATATACACGTGTTCAAATCGGGTATTTAGAATTTCTAAGACGGCGATATTCCTTGTATTTAATGGCGTTGGTAAACAAAGGAATATGGATTAAACTGAGAAATCAGGACCACCCAAAAAGAGACCCGAAACGAGTCGTATCCCAGCTTTGCCAATCAAAGTGCGGCTTATTGTAACAAATGAGAATCTACGAACACATATGTCAATAGCAAAAGCTGCCAAAGTGCTCCAGGAAACAGCATGCAACATAATTAAGCAGAATTTCTGTTTGGAAAACGACACAACTCACGTGTATACAATTTGCTTCCACGACGTAATTGCTCAACTGTTCCATGCCTCAAACAATTCGCGAATGAAATAGGTATTAATGTTATTCTATACGAATAATTGCTTATGGATTTCTTTGTGATCGAAATTTTCAAATGGGTGCTGGAACACCGTCGTTATCTTACACTACATGACTTATGGAAAGCAGTCAGTAAGAAAGTGTGTATTTTGGAGTCTTACTATGGAGCCTTTTGCAATGGAAACTAAACTGAAGGTTGTTGTCAAGTTACACAGTCGTCAGATAGAACATGACCAGACGTGATCACATGGACTGAAACTACTTGTGAGGCTCCAGCGTGTTAATATAAAGTATTTAACCTCTGTATATCATGTTAAACACTATTATTTGTCATTATCTTTAATCTAAGTAAATTGGTTAGATTTTTACCTTCTTAACTCTAATATTTTTTTTACTTTTCAATCTCCGTAGCTTCAGTCAACTTGTTACATCTTTAATCACTTTGATTTTAATAAAAGAAGCTTCAGTAAATATTTTATATTCCAAACTCCTTAACTTTAATAAATCTGTTAGCTTTCGGCTACTTCTTTATAATGAAAGTTATAAGCTTGATCTTCCTAATCTAATGATTTCGTTAATTACCAAGCTTCTTTGCAATGACTCAATTACATTTCAATCTTTCTACTCCAGGGAATCTGCAAGATCTTGTCTTCTACATTTGAAATACTTAAGTTCTAATTTTTCTAACCCTAATGAACCTGTTAAGTTTCAACCTGCTACTCAAATCTAAGGAATTAGTTAAGTCTCGACTTCGTCACTGTGGTGAATATTTAAGCTTCAAAATTTCAGTTCTCAAGACGCAGTAAAAGTTTAATATTACTATATTTTTTGAGTTTATTAAATACCGATCTATTCATACTGTCGAATCTATTAACGATAATTAAAGAATCCTTTAATTTCTTTCTTCCTAACTCTCATGGTACCATTAACTTCAGTTATTCCTCCTATGAAGACTTCTTGAAGTTTGAATCCCAAACTTTAGCTGATCTCACTACTGAGACTAAAAGGATGAATTGGATTGCAGTGTTATTAAAAAGTCAATAACCGTATACAGTCAGATTATTATTGTTGATTATTACTATTGAATTGAGACAGGGGTATATAATTTTTTTTTCAGGAGGTTCTGATTGCTACTCTCTTTGATGAGATGAGTTACTTTGAGGCCTCGGTTTTTGTTTAAAGGCAGGTTCATCAAACTGTGTAAACAAGTTAGTCAATAACGGCTACAGTCTGAAAAGAAACCTCTACAATATTCCCTTAAAGTATTTCCAAAGATTTTCTTCCTTTTAGGCTTGACTAGGCCCAACTATTATTCAGTAAGTTATTAAATCTCATACATTAAAGTATGTTCTTGCTTTCATGGTATTTAACGTTAAGCTTAAAGTGAAAACTTTACCTTCCAAAATATCGTCATCATCGTCGTCATCATCAAAATCATCATAATCTTCATCATTCAATGATGTTGTGCTCGTTGTGGAAACGATGCTATTGGTACGATCAGCAAATGATTTTCCCTTAAAACACAGAAAAAACAATCAATATATATGCTATCTAGTGCTATGTTTTTAGAAAATAATTACATATACATGTGTATTTACTATCCAAACTAAAACTAGTAAAACTGAGTCAAGCTTTCTATGGTGATGATTAAAATCGTACTAAAACTAAGTGTAACTATTAATTAAACACCCTTAATCTAAAATGCTTATTTGTTTGTTTGTTTTGAATTTCACACAAAGCTATGAAAGGGCTATCTGAAAGGGCTACGAGGGCTATCTGTACTAGCCGTCCCTAATTTAGCAGTGTAAGACTAGAGGGAAGGCAGCTAGTCATCACCACCCACCGCCAACTCTTTGGCTACTCCTTTACCAACGAATAGTGGGACTGACCGTAACATTATAACACCCCACGTCTGAAAGGGCGAGCATGTTTGGTGGGAGGGGGATTCGAACCCGCAACCTGCAGATTGCGAGTTGAGCGCCGTACCACCTGGGCATGCCGGGCCTATGCTTATTGGGAATGTAGCTAATTTTTACTATTCATTGTGACACCAGCATCCTGAGCAGTAATCGTAGTTGGAAAATAAATCGCCAAAGTGGTTGCTAAACCCCAGAAGTACTCCCAGTTAATGGTTGAACAACTTGTAGAGTTGAACTCAGTTCTTTATTAAGAGTCATTTAACGTCTCTAAGTGTTGTTTGTAGTCCAATCTTGAATGTGCATGGTTTCTGAATTACTATTTTTGTCTAGCAATACTTTCACATGTTACTATAAATCCAGTAGATTGTAGCTCGTTACTATAACTCCACAATAATATAACACAAAATCCGTAAAAGTGTAAGTCCTCTACGTTGCAGCATGCTAATGTAATTCCATATGACTATTGCACACCATTGAGAAAAAACAGTAAAATCGTGGCATGCTATTATAATTCCGTAAAATGTAGAATTACTGTCAGTTCTTACACTGTAGCATGCTAGGTGAAATCTAATAAGCTGTTTTGTGCTACTATATAACGTTGATAAGATCTAACATGCTATTATAATTTAATATAAACTATACTATGCAGTTATAAATAAATTGAAGCATATTACTGTAACGTCTATACAAAATAGCATGTTACTGTAAAAAACAGTAAGTTGAAGAATGCTAATATAATTTCATAAAATGTGCAGTGTTACTTTACTTCCTGAAATCTTCAGTATTTTACCGTAAATCCAGTAAGGTGAAACTACTGAAAACCTTGAAAGCTGTAACTTGCTACTTGAAACCTTGTATATTGCAGCATTCTATTGTAAATCCAATAAAGTGAAAATCCTGAAAGCTGTAACATGCTATTGTGACTTCAATAAACTGTAATATCTTCTGCCAGTACCCTTTGTCTTGATGTTAAAGCAGGTGTTACGGGATTTCTGAGCTTCTTGTTTTTTATCAGCACTCGATATTTGAGCTGCTCTGGAGAAGGTAGGTGTGGCGTTTCATCCACGTTATCAGGATCAAACAGATACTTGGTTACAAGCTTCTCTCCAAAAACATTCTGTAAGAACACATGTGTTATCACTTCCCGGTTACGTGAGAAATGCATTACAGTTATTAAATAATATTGCTGAAAAACAGATACACATACGAGATATCTAAAAAACTGATTAATCACATGGCTAACCTCGTAGTCAACAAACTTAACAGACTTTTACATTCTAAATTACATGTATGAGTCTTAAAAATGATAAGATAAATCAGTTCTCGAGAACTGGAGGTATTTTTGTCTTAAAATACTAGTCAAACTAGTTTCCTTTCATTGGCGTTTTCACTACAAAATCTAAATTAAAACTGTCTTTTGAATAATAGAATGGTATGAAATAGATAATTTTGATTACACAGTCCAATGAATAACATGCTCTACATGTAAGATTACCCGTTCCAAATACACAACAGCAGAGAGGTCTAAATGCTGGTTGCAATTACATTGGAAGGCAGCTATTAATACGCACTGCTAAGATATTTATAATAAAGTAATTTGAAAATACGCAGGAGACGATAGTAGACCGGTAATTTGGGAAAATTAAAACGTCTTCTAATAAATAGACTGATACTACATACAGTTTTGCTTAAAATAAAATGCACATTACCGTAAATATTTGCGCCATCTTGGCTTGTTGTTGCATAGAGCAATGGTTCTCAACAGACAAGATGACCGGGTATGGTGACGTCACAAAGGCACTGTTATTAATAGCTTCCACAACATCCTGATAAAAAAAAAAACGTTTAATCATAGAAATTCCCATAAACAATGTGCTTCAGACACTTAAAACTAGGAATTTACAGGTAATGGTACGTCAAAACGTAAATAATTAAACTTCACAAATTCCCATCCAATATGCTTTTATAACGTGAAATAATAATATATATTAACATCTTCTTACGAAACTTAGTTCAGTAACATAAAACCGTATCTGAACGCTGGAAACCTAACCAGCGTGGTTACAACGAAACCCTAGAAAAACGTTCAATATTTTTAAAACTAAATATAATAAACACAACTTTTATGTTACTACGCAATGGAAACATGTACAGCATTACTATTTAAAAACATTAGAAATTTGTAAAAAAACACCTTATTGTTTGTCGTTTAGTTACGGTAAAACTTACTATATATATATAAACATGGGAACATTATACATTACACTAAATGCGCTAAGAATGATAATCAAAATTATTTTTACATTTTGGATTTCCCATTTCATTCACTAAGATAAGATAATTTGTGTTATTGAAAGTAATGTAATTCTATACGTATATCATCAGATAAACCTAGTGCATTACAGTTTGTTGTAAACACTGCAATTAGAGTATAAAGTCAGGTGTAACGTCATCCAGTTATTCTACTTTCAGAAACCAGGTAGGAAAACTTTAATTAAAAGGGAAAATCAAATGAAGAAATATATATATATATCCAGGGATGTTTTCTGTGTTTATAAATAAATACGTTTTACTGTGTTAACAACTAAAGATGTTTAATGTGTTTACAACTAGGAATGTTTACTGTGTTTACAACTATAGATGTTTCTGTGTTGAGAACTAGAGATCTTTATTGTGTTTACAACTAGCGATGTTTACTGTGTTTACAACTATAGATGTTTACTGTGTTTACAACTAGAGATGTTTCTGTGTTGACAACTATAGATGTTTACTGTGTTGACAACTAGAGATGTTTATTGTGTTGACAACTATAGATGTTTACTATGATTACAACTATAGAATTTTACTGTGTTGACAACTATAGATGTTTACTATGTTTACAACTTTAAATATTTCTGTATTGAGAACTAGGGAGGTTTACAGTGTTAACAACTATAGATATTTACTGTGTTTACAACTTTAGATGTTTCTGTGTTGACAACTAGGAATGTCTACAGTGTTAATAAGTAGGAATGTTTACAACAACTAGGGATGTTTACTGTGCTGACAACTAGAGATATATACTATGTTAACAACTAGGAATGTTTACTGTGTTGACAACTATAGATGTTTACTATGATTACAACTTTAGGTGTTTCTGTATTGAGAACTAGGAAGGTTTACAGTGTTAACAACTATAGAATTTTACTGTGTTGACAACTAGGGATCTTACTGTGTTGACAACTATAGATGTTTACCATGTTTACAATTTTAGATGTTTCTGTATTGAGAACTATGGAGGTTTACAGTGTTAACACCAATAGATGTTTACTGTGTTTACAACTTTTGATGTTTCTGTGTTGACAAATAGGAATGTTTACAGTGGTAACAAGTAGGAATGTTTACAACAACTAGGGATGTTTACTGTGTTGACAACTAGAGATGTTCACTGTGTTAAAAACTAGGGATGTTTACTGTGTTGACAAGTATAGATGTTTACTATGTTGACAAGTATAGATGTTTACTATGTTGACAAGTATAGATGTTTACTATGTTGACAAGTATAGATGTTTACTATGTTGACAAGTATAGATGTTTACTATGTTTACAACTTTTAATGTTTCTGTATTGAGAACTAGGGAGGTTTAAAGTGTGGACAACTAAATATGTTTTCTGTGTTGACAGTTATAGATGTTTTTGTGTTGACAACTAGAGATGTTTACTTTGTTGACAAGTAGGAATGTTTGCAATAACTATAGTTGTTTACTGTGTTGACAACTTTAGATGTTTCTGTGTTGACGACTAGGGATGTTTACAGTATTAACAACTATACATGTTTACTGTATTGACAACTATAGATGTTTCTGTGTTGACAACTAGAGATGTTTACTGTGTTGACAACAATAGTTGTTTCTGTGTTGAAACATCTATAGATGACTATAGTTGTTTCTGTGTTGACAACTAGAGATGTTTACAGTGTTTACAACAATAGATGTTTCTGTGTTGACAACTAGAGATGTTTACAGTGTTTACAACAATAGATGTTTCTGTGTTGACAACTAGAGATGTTTACAGTGTTTACAACAATAGATGTTTACAGTGTTGACAACAATAGATGTTTCTGTGTTGAAAACTAAAGATGTTTACAATGTTAACAACTATAGATGTTTACTGTGTTGATGACTATAGATGTTTCTGTGTTGACAACTAGAGATGTTTACTGTGTTAACAACTAGATGTTTATTGTGTTGACAGCTATAGATGTTTCTGTGTTAACAACTATTGATGTTTACGGTGTTGACAACTAGAGATGTTTACTGTTTTAACAACTAAGAATGTTTACTGTGTTTACAACTATAGATATTTCTGTATTAACAACTAGAGATGTTTCCTGTGTTGAACTCTAGAGATATACGTTGTGTTAGTTTATGACCTTTAACAATAGATCACCCTGAGTTCTAGTTGCTCATTCGCTTTTAAACTCTTTCTTTTTACTTCTTTCCATATATTTTTTATCTTCTATCTTAGTACGACTTTTGAGTTTTTAAAATGACCTAGGATGCATATGGAATGATTTCTGTGGTTTTGTAAATTTTTCCATGCACAAGTTCTAAATTAGTATATGATATATATATATATGTTAACAGACATTGTTGTAGGGTTACATGTGTCCTAGCAGCTATTTATCAAAACATGTTACATATATACATTCTTATAATCAAAGTCTTATATATCAACCAGTCTTGCACAAACATACTCTGGGACTAATAAAACTCCACAGTACTGGAAAGGTTAAGTAAGTAAAATATACTGTGTCATAGTTATTTCACACCTAATAGCCTCACCTTAAAGGAAATCTTGCTGGTGAGTGTGTGCCCGTGATATATAACTGGTAGACCATCATCGCCATCCCAACAATCAAGCTCAACACATCGACAACCTGTCAGCAGCACCTATTCATTCAAATAATAAAGATTATATCCATACATTAACATTATTAACATTAAGTCCAATCAAAAGCTTCTAATTATTTAAATAATAAAAGTCGGATCCGATCAATAGCATTTATAAGTTCAAATAATTACAGTGTATTCATTTAACAGCATTTAATCACTGTGCATGGATTATTATTATTTCTGGCAGTTATTTTGATTTGAACTTAATTATTTCAGAAGAAATCGGTGCATGGATCCGGCAAAAGTGGCTATATATACGAATAGTAAACCTATATCTTTGTAGTGTTGAAGAATTATCCTCGAAAAAAGTACTCTCGTCTCACATTACATATTGTCTTTCATATTACATATTACTAACATATAACCATTAAACAAAAAAAGATTATTTAACTAAAAACTTTAGGTCTGGCAAGAAATAATATTAACATCATAATCTATCTTTTGGACTTTAGAAATAAGAAGGAAAACCCCTTTCTGTCCAAAATTAAAGTTGTATTGCCTACCTATAATAAGCAGTTAATTTTCTTATTAAATAATTTACCTGACTATAAAGATCGACTGATGACTCGCCCTTGAGCTGATGTCCAGTGAGGTAAGTGTTATGAGATGAGGCAATGTAGTAATACGACAAAGGATGACACATTTCCTAAATGAACAAAAATAAATGCAATATATATTTATTTTCGAATAACCCTTTTCTACTTGTACTCCAGCCTGGCATGGCCTGGTGGTTTAGAGTGTTGAACTCGTAATCTTCGGGTCGCCGGTTCGAATCCTCGTCACCAAACATGCTCGCCTTTTCAGAAGTGGGGGCATTATAATGTGACGGTCAATCCCATTATCGTTGGTAAAGAGTAGCCCAAGGGTTGGCGGTCGATGGTGTTGAATAGCTGCGTTCTCTCTAGTCTATCACTGCTAAGTTAGAGACAGATAACTTTCGAGCAGCTTTTCGCGAAATTCTAAAAAAAAACACATACAAAAAACTACTTGTTCCTAGTGCGCATTCAGTGACTGCATGATGTAAGAACGGGTTTTGTTAGCTACCGGATCGTATTCTACTGAACAATTAACGTGGGCGTCATCCAATTGTCCGACACTCAAGAACGAAATCAATGGTCAAAGAGGGTGGTAGGGGTCCAGGTGTATCTGATCCTCCCAGATAACATGACCAAACAACGACCAAATGAAACATGCCCCCAATGGCTCAGCTGTAAGTCTGCAAGCTTAAAACGCTAAAAATGGGTTTTGATATTCGTGGTGGGCACAGCACAAACAGCCCCCTATGTAGCTTTACGCATAAGAATAACCAAACTAACTATTCTACCTTTTTGTATCCAAGCAGATCTATTCTACATAAACCAACTGGTCTACTTTCTTGTATCCAAGCAGATCTATTCTACATAAACCAACTGTTCTACTTTTTTGTATCCAAGCAGATCTATTCTACATAAACCAACTGGTCTACTTTTTTGTATCCAAGCAGATCTATTCTACATAAACCAACTGGTCTACTTTCTTGTATCCAAGCAGATCTATTCTACATAAACCAACTGTTCTACTTTATTGTATCCAAGCAGATCTATTCTACATAAACTAACTGTCCTACTTTTTTGTATCCAAGCAGATCTATTCTACATAAACCAACTGTCCTACTTTTTTGTATCCAAGCAGATCTATTCTACATAAACCAACTGGTCTACTTTTTTGGTATCCAAGCAGATCTATTCTACATAATCCAACTGTTCTACTTTCTTGTATCCAAGCAGATCTATTCTACATAAACCAACTGGTCTACTTTCTTGTATCCAAGCAGATCTAATCTACATAAACCAACTGGTCTACTTTCTTGTATCCAAGCAGATCTATTCTACATAAACCAACTGGTCTACTTTCTTGTATCCAAGCAGATCTATTCTACATAAACCAACTGGTCTACTTTCTTGTATCCAAGTAGATCTATTCTACATAAACCAACTGGTCTACTTTCTTGTATCCAAGCAGATCTATTCTACATAAACTAACTGTCCTACTTTTTGGTATCCAAGCAGATCTCTTCTACAATTTCTGATGTCTAAACAAAATCTATTCTGCTTGGCTCAGTATCCAAGCAACTGGTTCTGTTTGGTTATATATTAAAGCAACCCTGTTCTACTTTGCCTTGTGTACTTTATTCCGTAACCAAGCAATCCTATTTGTTTGTTTTTGTTTCTCTTCCCAAGTATTGTTTTCTACTTTATCTCATTTCCAAACAATCCTGTTTTTCTTGGCTTCATATCCAAGTAATTCTGTTATACTTGCTTTCGTTTCCAGCCATTCCTGTTTTCTAGGCTTCTTATTAAAGCAGCTCTGTTCTGCTTGGTTTCGTTTCCAGCCATTCCTGTTTTCTAGGCTTCTTATTAAAGCAGCTCTGTTCTGCTTGGTTTCGTTTCCAGACAATCTTGCCTTTCTTGGATTCACATCAGAGTAACTCTAGTCTGCTTGGTTTCGTTCCCAGGTAATCCTTTTTTTCTTGGCTTCACATCAGAGTAACTCTGGTCTGCTTGGTTTTGTTTCCAGGTAATCCTGTTTTTCTTGGCTTCACATCAGAGTAACTCTGGTCTGCTTGGTTTCGTTTCCAGGCAATCCTGTTTTTCTTGGCTTCACATCAGAGTAACTCTGGTCTGCTTGGATTTGTTTTCAGAAAATTCTGCCTTTCTTGGCTTCGTATTAAAGCAACTCTGTTCATCTTGGTTTCGTTTTCAGACAATCTTGCCTTTCTTGGCTTCACATCAGATAACTCTGGTCTGCTTGGTTTCGTTTCCAGGTAATCCTGGTTTTCTTGGCTTCCCATCAGAGTAACTCTGGTCTGCTTGGATTTGTTTCCAGACAATCCTGCCTTTCTTGGCTTCGTATTAAAGTAACTCTGTTCATCTTGGTTTTGTTTGTAGACAATTCTGCTTTTCTTGGCTACGTATCAAAGCATATCTGTGCTACTTGTCTTTGTATTAAAGCAAGTTTCTTGTTATTTCTGCATGGAAGTAACTCTTTTTCCAAGTGTCTTTTACCTAAGTGTCTCTGTTGTTGTTTTTTACTTTATACTGTCTTTATAGACCCCGGCATAGCCAGGTGGTTAGGGCGCTCGACTCGCAATCTGAGGGTCGCGGGTTCAAATCCCCATCACACCAAACATGCTCGCCCTTTCAGCCGTGGGGGCGGTTATTAATAGTGACGGTCAATCCCACCTATTCGTTGGTAAAAGAAGTAGCCCAACGAGTTGGTCAGTGGGTAGGTGCTGACTAGTTGCCTTCCCT